CATTGGTCTACAAAGCCACATGCACTCTGTCGCTCGCTCTCTCTCTCACACACACACTCACATTCACATTCATTCACACATTCCCCACTCAGAGTAATATCATTACACAGTTCTCTGTCCTATATATTACCTCACATCTCAGCAGCTCTGATTCCAATGCTTACTAATGTTTTAATTTCCTGCTGGCTCAATGAACAGTTTTCAGCTTGTGGTACATTATAGAGCTACTGGGTGAATGGGATTGAGCTTTCCAGTTTGGCTCGGAGTGTCTTATTCACCTGAGCTCACTGGCAGAATGAATAGTTTACCACAGCTCTAGTGCTAACCCCCTTTGTGAACTAGCAGTGAGCCATGTGCCGTATGACAAAGGCCAACTGTTCCCTAGAAACTTAAATCCACTTCTTCGGTAGGCATGTAATATAACAAAAAAAACCTTCTGTTGCAATAGACTCCAGACTCACCACTAACAATCAGGATTATATTCACACATCTAAAATTCAGTTGCTAGGTTTAACTACAGTAGTTTGCAAGGTGTATTTATGTCAATGAATGCATCTTTAAACAAAGATGACCGTGGCGATCCCTTCTAACCCTGTGATTCTGTGATTTTATTAATCTGTGGGGAAATTCAAACCCAGGTAGAATTTAGGCAGTCCCAAATACACTTGAAAAATTGGTGTCAGCCTCTTTATTTTTAATATTGAAGAAAAGATGCAGGTCTTTATGCAAGTTACATGCTACCTTATCTTCCCCCCTCAAAAACCTTTAAAAAGCCTAACATTGACACTGGGTGGGAGCTCACGGCAGAATAGATGTTGCATTGGATGGCACACCGATGTTGTTCTGGAGAAGGAAAAAAATTAAACTTTTCCATGCCAATCATTCATTCCCTGCCAGTTCTCATGCTTCTCCTCCATGGACGGTAGCCGCATAGCTACTCAAAATACAGCAAATATTGAGGTAGTGAAAAGAAATGGGTGAAACAGGAAACAGCAAAGTGAAAGTAGTTGGATACAGGTTCATGTCAGTAAATGTTACACAGGGATTATTTAAGGGTATTTCAGGAATGCTGACATCATTCAACATAGCATTTAGACCAACATATTGTGGGGCATCATTTTGCTGAATGCAGAAGATATATCAGCGGTATCATTAGAGGTCAACAGTATCTCTGTCTAGGGCTCAAATATACCAAAGAAGGGTCCCTACAAATGACTTTTAAATGCAACTGGGAAGAGTGAGCCTAGCCCACTGCACATATTGGGTAGTCGCTGGGGATGTGTGTCAGCATTATGCCACACTTTTCTACTCTCCCTCAGCCTCTGGAGTGGAGTAAGTGTTTTTCATTATTTATTTTTGTATGTCATAAAAGCAGGAATAAGTAGTGAAAGGGATTGAAGGTAACGTTCCATATTTTTCCCCACAGATCTGATGCATTGATGTTAAATATTTTTTTAATTCCCTGTGCGGCAGAGCTACATGTACAGAAGTTTTAACGTGATCGTTCTTTAGAAAATAAAGTTATGTGTTATCTTAGCTTTGTGTTATCTATTTTGATTCAGTGGGCTGAGGGAGATCATTTAATAGATGTAGGACTATTGAAAAGGGAGCAAGTTTACCTCATCCAGATAAGTCTTTGTGGAGAGAGGGAGAGAGAGAGAGAAAGAGGCAGCATGGTTACAATTATGAGGCTTTCTAGGATACAGTTAACCACAAGAGGAGAGCTCGAATGGATTGCAATCAACCCTCTCTCCTCCCCCACAAACTGAATGATAGAATGCTGTATTACTACACATCCTCTCCTTTAATGTTTTTTCTTTGAAAAGTCAATTAAAATACCACAAATCTGTTTGTTTTTTATGTTGTGACTTATGTGAGTCAGATCGTGCTAGATTGCTGCCTGTCCATTATGCACAGTGAGAAGGGAGGAAGAAGAAGACTCTTCTCTCTTTGTGTCCCATATCAGGTCTGGCAGAACTGCAGCAGAGGGAATACTGCTTAGGGATACACATTGACCCAAGGAGGGAGAGTAGACAGAGCCATTGCTTTGATTTCCACCCTCCACTGGATTCAACCTAAATCCAAGGGGATATTCTGCATTACTCCTTCAGAGGGTACAGCATATGTTCCCCTAGTACTCTGCGCAGTTCAAGGGAGACAGCTATATGTATGTTTGTTTTAAATGGAATCCCCTTGAAAACATTATGTCCTGTAACCACAGCCCTGCGTAAGAGGCAATGTGGAGCCCCATTGCCTCGGGGGAGCATGGAGATGATTGTCCCTCAGAAGCTCCCCTATGTGTGGGGGGTGCGTAAGATGCAGCATCCTTTGCCATAGTTGCACCTCTGTCTACTTCTTTTGTACATCCTTCAGAGTGCACACAGAGGGAGCAGTCCCTGCATTCCTTTGAGTGTAAGGATTGATTGTCCTTGGCTCTTGTGTAGATGGCACAGACAGGTCAGAAGCATCCTTGCGCCTTCTACCCCGGTGCATCGGGACAAAGACCAAGGACTCTCTGGCCTTATGGATTCAAATTACAGGGTTCTAAGCTCAAATGAGTTTTCTGAACCTGATAGTATGTTCAGCTATTCCTAGTTTTGTTTCATGTGGCTTTTACAAGTGGGAGTTTTCCCATTGACTTCAGTGAGAGCAGGAACAGGCCCAAATCCCATGGAGAACCCAGAACTTTCCTCTCTTGGGATTTGGCTGAGAGAAAAGGGTGTGATTAACATGAGAGATTTTTTTCACTCCTCATGTAAAACATGATAAAAAAATACACCAAAGAATTATTTATTTAAACAACCCGGCAGGTTTAAAAACAGCTCTTTTCCATTGCTAAATATTTACAGCAATCCCCGCAAGGAAGAGAGGGGAGTGATTAGAAAAAAAGAAAATTCAGGGAAGAGCAACCCAAGTGACTCCATGGCTGGAGGAATTGAGGAGATATTAAAAGAACTAAAACCATGGGCCAAATGATATCCTTCCTCACAACCATGCACCCTGTTGGAAATCAATCAATACAGATTTGCTCAGTGAGGAGCAAAGGGATGTAATACCCATCTGCAGGTCTCGCGGGGTGTTGAACACCAAGCAGTAAAAGGAATTGGATTGGATTGTCCAAGGGGTAAAGTATTTGGGGATGAATTATGTTCCCAACAGTTAGTGCTGTGGACTTCAGAATCACAAAGGACCTACTTGGATTTCCTCAGCTCACATTTAATGTTTATATAAACACACAAAGAAGATTCCAAGGAGCTAGAGATTAAGCCTCACCAGATTCCAAAGCTGCTTTCTTACCAGCTTCCAGACCATTCTCTTCTACAGCTGCAACAATAATTCATCTTCTCTCTGTCTCCACATACTTCTAGCCAGTAAGAACACAGCAGGCACCTGGTGTTATAAATAATCCATGAGCAATAGACTCAGAGATAATTAACTTTTTAGTTACTAGTTCAAGATGTTTTGAAAAGCACACGTCTAACAGTGAACTGAAAAAGGATCCCAAGAGAAAGTGGTAGAGGCCCCAATGCTTAAAAGTGGACTGGACAAAAGCAGTTGGGAATATAATGTAGGGAACAATCCAGCAATGACAGGGACATGGACAAGATGATTTAATAATCTTTTCCATCTCAACTTTCTGTAGGCCCACCCACTTGGAATACTGGAGGGGACCAAAATAGGATGGAGGCATTAAAGGTTGGACTGGTGTCTTTGTGGCAAGCTCCAGCTTCTCCTTACAATGGTATAGGACTCTGCACAGTCAAGACAGCATAGTTCAGGAACTCAGGACATTTCAGGAGTATGGATAAGTAAGGCGAGGCTGGGATCTGGCTCTGCAACACCATGCCATTCCAAAGCTACAAAGAATTGGCAGCATCAGACTATGCTGAGCCTCTCAGTAGTACCTTGAGTCCTACTTTGCACAGTGAAAAGACTTCTTGGGGTTGGTTGGGGAAGTGACTCACAGGGGACACATGCCAAAGACATGCTGCCATGGGGGAAAAGCCAGGCTCTTCTGCTGTGCTCCTGCCCTATGTGCTTATCCTGAGATCTATGGGATTTCTCCATGAATTCTCAGGGCTTCCACAGGTTTAGGAGGGTTCAGTCCTGTCCCTTGACCAAACTGATCTAAAGCAGATATTGAGTTGAAAGTTGTGGGATTTCCCGGGTCTTCCCTCCCCTTCCCCCCTTTCCTGCATGCATATCAGGAAAGAGATGGCCTTATTATCCATAATAAAAACACAGAAGGAAGGGGGGCTTATAATGGAGCCCCTTTTGAAGGTGTAGTTTACTCTGACCATTTTGTGAAGTATTATATGCAAGTAAATGGGGATGGTAGGACAAACATACTCATTGTGAAAAACCTCTTCATTTTTCTCTGTACCTGCACTTTTGTGGGGGATTGATACCCTCCACCATCAGATCCCCGCCTCAATTCCCTCACATATAGCATCCATTGATCTCTTTATTGTTCACATGGGAATTTACCCAAGAAATGTAACTGAAGAAGATTTCTCTTGTAAAACACCATGAAAACCACAGATCTCTCTTGGAGGGCAGGCCTGGTTCTAAAAGTATGGGGGAAAAAATCAAACGTGCAAAGAACATAGAGATTTGGACATTTGGGGGCAAATTCTGACTTCAGATACACACACATAAAATTTGCTGTAGTCAGTGGGTTCACTGGTATTAACTGAGGGCAGAACTGATATTCAACCATTATCAAAGAAAAGTATAGTATGAGATGTATAGTATAGTATGAGATGAGAGAAAAGTATGAGATGATTTTATTCTGCAATGTAGTCCTTATGATAATTGACCTGTAGACTTCTATGGGGTGCAGAGCAAAATGATTTGAAAGAAAACTGGGAATCTGGTATGTGCCTACAGAAATGGAGAAAAGAAGATATGATGAGTTAATGGAAGGTGGTTTAAAGTTGAAAAGCATTTGACAGCATGGCTCTTCCAATCCTCTCCTTCTCTTTACTTCCCCACCCCAGATGCAGTTTGCAGCCTTCGTAACCTGTGAAGAAGAGGTGGACTTGTCAAGTTTTCAAAATGCAGTATACTGAAAAGGTCAGAGTAAAACAGTCTGACAGAACTTGTAAGTCATTATAATTCTGGTATCTCATTTGTAATGAGAATGAGAACTGCAGCAAATTATTGTAAAATATGCTCTAAAAAACTGGGAAAACATGATAGTTATATTGAAACCAAAGTTTTCATCACCTGCTATAATGACAAATAGATTCTGTGTGTTTCTTCACAAATGTGCTCTGTAGCTCAGAGGGCTCTGAAATAAAAAGATTTGTGGCAATTTCCATGGTAACTAGTCATTTTTTCCCCTAATGGCATAAAGAAAACAGACATTACTGCAGGGGTGGGAGAAACTGAAGCTAACCAGAGGATTTGGGGATTAGTCTGTTTTGTTTTTTTAAGTTTAAATTTTGGCAAAACTCTGGCATTAATCCCTGGCATCTGAAAGTGCCACGAAACTGAGGGTGAGAGATTCATGGGAAACTTGGGCCTATTAAATTTTTGAAACATAATGAAATACAAGTGTTTCACGCTGCTTATAGATATTTCTGTGCTCACTACTGTTGCATTATGTTGTTATACATGTCCCACTATCTCATACTGCATGTTTATTTACTAGAGAGGTCCTTCTGCTATCTGAGTTTGGATGATTATCCAGTTATAGAGGGATTAGGGCTCAAGAAGGCCTGAAGGGCCCAAAGAAAGAAACCTCAGTCAAGAGGTTGCAACATTCTCAGTTTGGTGTTCCAGTCAGCAGGAGAGAGACTAAATCACTGGGAATCCAACTAAAAGAATCAGAAGAAGAATGACCACCTGGAGATACATTTGTTCAGCATAGGAAAACCCTGAAGAATTTAGAATCATCATGTGAGAGAGGGTTCTGAACTCAAATGGCATAATCCCTCAAGGGGCGTGCATATGTCTATGAAGACTAGAACCCATCTAAACCAAAAAGGGTTACTGGGGCCAATACTTATAATTTGGTTAATTTCATAATCATATCTACTGTTATTTAATGTTGCTTAGTCTAACTCCTTTATATTCTCACTAACCTATACATTTTACCCTACTCTGCCAAACTGAAGCCTTGTACACACACAAATGTTGCAGAAGTTTAGTCATTTTTTTAGATTGATTTAGATAAACCAGAGCAAACACCTGCTTAAATTGGTTTACAACTGATTAATATCAGTTTAGCTTTATTTGTTAATTGAGAGTGAAAGTTTTTTAAAAAATGAAATGAAGTTACACCAACCCTCTCAAAATAAGTGTAATTTATACCAAGGAAAGAGGCATTGTGAGCATTGGAGAGGACAGTTTAGGCCTGGGGCATATGTTTTTTTGTGTATGTGTGCTCTGTAGAAAAAGTGTATATGGCCTTCCAAAAATTGCAATTAGGAAAAAGACACTTTTCATATGCTCCCAACTAAAAGTGGCGTTTAAAAAAGGGACTAAGGAGGCTCTTTTCCCACTCCACATATGAGATTGCACTGGATATTAGTACTGTCGTGGCGTTATTGCTCATTGAGGATTCTGTGTGCTGTTTGGTGTATGCAACTGAGTGTGTGGCTGGACTGATAATCTTCCCCCCAGTCATCAGACTATACTTGGCTCACAGATGGTGTGCTAGAGTTCCTCAAAGATGCTTAGGTGAGTTACTCTCTTGCTTTTTCAAACTCCTGCTGCCATGTTCCAATACTCTGTGGGTCTTCCCTAGCACTACTCATCATCAAATAATGCCTCAGACGTGGCCAGATTGAGACACTGCTTTGGGAAGTGCTGATTCAAGATGGGTTTTGATTCAAGAAGGGTTGTCAATGTTTAGCTCAACTCTGGTGTTTTGTTCCAGGCCTGATTCTAGTTTAGTGACTGTGAAAAACAGTACACAATTAGCCCCCAATCCTGCATGACTTTAGATGTGTGCTTAACTCTAAGCTCACATAATTAGTTTTAATAGCAAAAAGAACAGGAGTACTTGTGGCACCTTAGAGACTAACAAATTTATTTGAGCATAAACTTCCATGGGCTACAGCCCACTTCTTCGGATGCTGTAGCCCACGAAAGCTTATGCTCAAATAAATTTGTTAGTCTCTAAGGTGCCACAAGTACTCCTGTTCTTTTTGCGGATACAGACTAACATGGCTACTACTCTGAAACCTAGTTTTAATAGGACTACTACATGCTTAAAGTGTAAATGCTTGTAGGTGTGGGCCTTGGTGGTTAGCTCTCTTCCCCCCTCTTTAATGTAGTAAGTGTGGTACACACAACAACAATGGGAATGTTATGTTATACCCACTGCAGTAATATGATTATCTATGATTATTTTAGGCAAATACAAAAATGTATATACAGAAGTTGATAGATCCCTCAGCTTTCTAGTTAATCATGCTTCACATGAAAGCTGTAGACATAGAATAGCCTGCCCCTACACTAGTTAAAATAAGAGATTCCAATCAGGTGGAATTCAATCCTCTGTATTCTTAATTAAATTTAGTTTTAGAGTTAGTGCAGCCAGTCTGGATCTAGGCATGAGCAATGCAAGAGTGTCCTGCACTTTTGGGGAAGTCACAATTACATAGTGACTTAGAAAGTCATGGGCAAACACAATCTTTCCTTGTAACAATGTGAACAGAGGAGGCAACTCTGCTAGATACTTGAATACCCACAAGAGATTCCGACCTAAGGAAATAAACAACATAGATCTTTTCTTATATCCAGTTCATGGACTTCAGAGAATAATGTTGAACTAAAGGTTCTGATATGCAAAACTTCACTTATGATTATAAAGGTCTTCTTTACCCATTCATTCGGCTAAGTAAGTAAGTATGTCGGATTGTCAGCCCAGCAGTACGTCACATGCAGTGATGTAAATGGGAAGAGCATGGTGGTGAGAGAGTTAATTGTAACTTCATTAGTTTTTCTGAGAAAGGAGCAAAGGAAAGAAACTAGGACCCAAATTCTGAATTCTGATTCCTGCTAAGGCTCACAAGGGTAGCCTGAATATTCTTTTTAAAAGGAAAAAACAATATGGTGCACCAATTATTCTTTTATTTTAGAAAATGTCAAACTCCATGTGATCCATTTAATTACTATGGGTGTTCCAAATGGGAGAGCTATCTAACTGCTCCTTTAATTGAGCAATATCCTGTGTAGCAAATATAGATTCAGATGTCCCTAAAAAAAAGCAATCATAGACATAACATTCACACACAGAGAGCTTCCATTCAAAACCCTGATGTTTAGCGTTAAAAGTCTGTTTAACCTGTATTTATAACTATCAAACCCTTCTCATCTATTTTTGCTCAATCTGACTTATGAAAATGATGACTTTTTTCCCTTGTGTCTATAAGATCCTCATGTCATGATTGATCTGTGCTACACATTCGCCTCTCAGAGCTGGGAAAAGGTCACTGGCAGTTCAATCTCTCCTTAAAACTTGAGAAAGTAACTTGCCCTTTAATACTTAGGTTTAGGAGCCATGAGACATTAAAAACAATATTATCTTGACTTTTCAGAAAGTTGCTAAACAGTTGTCCTTCCATTTTTCTTATATTCTATATATATATAGAACCATAAAAGGTTTCTAAAATAAGAATGTTGCAAACAAAACAACCCAATTTATCCACCAAAAAAATAGGGAGAGTGCATAGTTAAGAATGCACATCCTTATTTCTTCTCAGCAAGAATGTGGACTTTCTGTTTGCCATCTTGTAGGCCTACCTATAGCAGTCAAAAGGTGAAATGTCTGAATATTAAGCCATAATCCATCATTGTACACACACTAATTACTTTCTGTCCTCCCATTCCCTTGTCATCATGGTCCAAAGCAGGTTTTCTGAGACTGAGTACATTCATCTGAGCTGTTAGCTTCTTCGCTCCACCGCATCCTTGTATGATCTGCCTGGTCTCAGTCCCCCAGAGGAAATTTGTGCATGCATACTGTATGTGAACTTTAGATAAATAAATAAACACGAGAAACAGCTTCCAGATAATTGAAAGCGAATGAAGGAGGGAGCAAAAAGAAAACAATTTCTCAGGAGACAAGCGGGCTGAGGTGGCAGGTATGATTAAAATCCATATGATTTATGAGTAGGTGCATTACTAACATGACAGCCCTTTAGTGAGTGTTTGTTTTGGTGCATTTGACAATAAAGTTTTTTTGTTTTTGTTTTCTTTCTTTCTTTTCTTTTTTCTTCTTGCTGCAGGTTTTGCTCAGGAGTTAGCCACTCAGGAATTTCTAGTGCCTGACTGAGCAGTAATTTAGTAAGCTCTCTTGTGCTCTTTTCCTGTCAGCATTAACATGTCAATTCATTTTAATAGTCTGGGCATGCTCAGTGGGCATGCATTTTCTCAGTAGGTATCCCATGAGCCCACCCTGTGGTGCAGAAATGTGTTATAGCTTGTCTCAGGCCACAGAGACTTCAGCAGGTTTATTTTCATTATGGCCAAGTGTATTTGTTAAGACAAAGCATGAAACAAGGAAAAAGAATACATGAAATCAAGATCTTAAAATATTAAATGGCTTATACACGTCTGATTGGTAATTTATGACTTGTGCACAAATAGGTTATAAAGACTTTCTTTACATGATATTATTACATGGCATAGTTTCAAAAAAATGTGTGCTGTCACTTCCTCTCTTTTTCTGGAAATTAAATGATATCATGCCACATTGGGAATTATCTGAAATCATGATTAATATTTGAAGTGGTTTTTATATTAAACCTGAATTTACTTGCCATCTTTCTCATTAAAGAGCTTTCAGATAGATTTGTATCTGAAGTTTTGCCTCTCAAATATATAAAACCAGGAGACTATATAGTCCGTAAGTTTAGTCTTTGATTATGATGTCAGGGTTTTAAATTAAAAATTCAGCTGCATTTGCATACTTTAAAAGCTACAAGTAGAAAGTCTTGTTTTAAAAGAGCGAAGAAAGTGGGAAGGAGGAACCCTCAATAAGTACAGAGACTCTTGGCACTTTAAATGACATCTTTCCAGATGCAGATTAAATTAAATCAAGGTATTTTGGTTGTACAGTACCTTAGTGTAATTAAATATTTAAACACACTGAGCTGTGTTATCAACATCTTTGTAGTAGTCTGAGCCCAGCTGGACATAGCTACAACATCTAGATGACCTCAAAAGGTAAAAACTTAATTTCTTTTTAAGGGGCCCACTTTCTTAAAAGAAATATATTTTTGTGGTAGGCTCTGCATTTCTGCTTCTCTGTGGTGTAACAATCGATGCAGACTCATGAAAGTTATAATGTACTAGAACTGTGTGGGAATGCTCTAGTGTTGGAGCATAATTACAGTAGAGTAGGAGGAGAATTATGCTTGGAATTTAAAGCTTGGCATGGGGATTCCCTTTCTGTTGGCCATATAAGGAATGAACTTATTTCTTTAAAAGTGGAATTTACAAAGTACCTTTTTAAGGAATAGCAACGGGCTATATTTGACACTGGTCAACAACAGATTTCCCGCATGTCTCTGGCACAAGCTTGTATGATGTGACATAGCATTGTGACAGGGCTATATAAAAACAACACAGAACAGTCTTTTGAAACTGAATTATGTATGTCCACTGGTTAAACAGATACGCTTTCTGTGCCAAATAAGCAAGCATAGTGATAAAGAAAATAAGAATTTCAAGAAGAGGATGCAGATAGTGAAGCAATGACACATCTGTTCAATACTCAAGTGGTGTTGTGGTTCATTGGTTGCAATGTCTGGAGAATAATGCAAGAAACTCAAAGCTAATAGCCAGTGTACTATTCCTGCATGAACAATAATGTAGTTCAGAACAGTGTGGATGAACTAAGCACCAAGATCATGTATATGTCTCTTGCTGGTCAGTGGAAGAGAAATAATTGAAGTAGGTAGTGAAATGTCAAAAATCATTTGCCTTGCGAAATCAGACATTCAATCAGTGATTAATGCCATAATGAACTGGGTGGTTTGTAAGTATAGCAGTAATGTCTTCTGGATGGAACTGCTCATCTATGGGTCTTGCACCCTATACTGATGATGATGATGAGTCTCCTTTCAATCAAGTTGTTAGAAGTTATGCGTTCAGACATGTTCTATTCCTGGT